GAGGGGGGGGGGGGTCCCCTTAATCGTTACAATCACCGGGTAACTGACAAGTTACTGTCCTCACTGTAATCCTAGAACTAGGAAACTATCCCACTACCAGCTTCCTGGTAACGGTAAGATCAGATTCCTAGTACCGCCTAGTATACAACTAGAGAATCCAAGAATACCTTCTAATTTGGGACATGGGGATCCAAGACTATCCCCTCTAGAAGATCTTGAGGATTCAAACGTTCCCCTATAGTAGTACCTAAGAACCCAAGGATGCCCTCTATAGTAGGACTTGAAGACTGAAGGGTACCTCCGCTTAGTATAGGAATTGAGGGTTCAAGCGTACCTCGCTATAATAGTACTTGAGGATCCAAGAGTATCCTTTATAGTAGGTCTTGTGGTTCCAATGATACCTCCCCATAGTAGTACCTGAGAATCCAAGGGTAGAGACGGGCGGAGTCAATTTTTTTTATTCCGATTCTGACTTCGACTCCGAAAATTCCTTCTTTACGACTTCGATTTCAACTTCAACTTCGAAACTTTTTTACTTTTCGACTCCGATTCCAGCTCCGAGAAACTCCGAATCCTTTTTTATAGAAGAAAAGGAAATCTCAAATATATTGTATTGTTTAATTCAGAGCATGTGGAAATCAATAATAAGGTTGCTACATTACTACAGTGAAGTCTCTCTAAAGTGAGCATGATCGAGACTACTGAAAAACGTTCATAATAAAGAGATGTTCACCTTCGAGACGTCCATTTTCAGCAACAATTGACTTTTCGGACTCGTGAAAAACGCTAATAATAACGAGGTTTCCACTGTAGAGAGCTGCTCGCTAGTAAAGGTTTTACCGAATTATTTTTTATTATTATTACTCAATAATTGGTAATCATTTTATATACTTTATTACTAGTAATACACTAATAACAATATTGCTTCTATGAGTTATTACTTTTAATACTATATGACTTGATAACACTTTTAGTTTCTGACTTTTGCTAGTTTCATAGATTATTTCTAATTACCTACAGTAATTAATAACCTTGTATGCTATTACTTACTACCAGTAATAATAATGCAACCTCTAATCGGTAAAGGAACAAATAAGTGAAGAAAAATCCAAGAATCATTAACAGATTAATCTGGAAGTTCTTTTACATCTGTTGTTCAGTGAAAATAAAAAGAATCACTAACCCATGTAATCACGAAACGCAAGATCGATGCGTTGAAACGCGGTTTCACAACAAAACGCGTCTAGACGCAGTTAAAAACGGGTTCACAACGCATTCAAATGCATTTTTAATATGAAACGTGTTGAGACGCAGTTAGAAAACTTTTGAAACGCGTCTGAACGCAGTTTTTGTATGCAACGTGTTGAAACGCAATTGTAAAAAAACTATGAACCGCGTCTCAACGCGTTTCATATTGAAATTGCGTTTGTACGTGTTTAATAAGAGTTTGACTGAACGCGTTCAAACGTGGTGTAATATGAGAAGCGTTGAGACGCAGTTAGAAAAAGTTTTGAAACGCGTCTGGACGCAGGTTTTCTATGCAAGGCGTTTAAACGCAATCAGAAAAAAATGAACCGCGTTTCGACACGTTTCTGAAAAAAATTTAATGCGTTTAAAAAAATTTTGCTTACGAACTGCGTTCAAACGTGTCTTAAATATGTTTTTCGCTCGCGTTAGGACGCAATCATATTTTCGAGTGCCTTTGAAAGTGTTTATTTTTTGTGTATCGGACGCGATTTTACCCAAAAATTGCTGCTCTAGAAGAGTTAACTGCATAATCAAAATCATCAGCTTACATGTATTTTATTCATCTAAACTTCATTAGACTTCTAATAAAGAATGTCGAGATGACGTTAAAATAGACAAAATTCAATTAAACATAGGGTGAACAGTCCATATTTCTCTAAAGTTTGTAAGAAAAATAGTTAGATAATATTGTAATAGTTTCCAGCTATGCAATGCCCTTTCAGAATATTGTTAAATACTACTATTTAAATAATATTATTAGTAACTTTTCATCATATATTTCTACCAAATTGCTTGTCAATAATTATCTATTCATTAAATTTTTCGATAAAATTATTTATCATATTACCAGTGCAATAAAAAAGATCGTAATATTTTTTTATGTGTAGTAGATGATAAAAAAAGATGTTATTTTATTAAAAAAATAAAAAACTTATTTAAAAAAATAACTGAAAAGTCATCTTACGTGTTAAGACTCTTGAATTCGAAAAAAATACATCTTGTTAAAATAAAGTATTTAACCGATGAAATTCGTCTTCAAATATATTTTATTTTGAATAAGACAAGTTTTCGGGTTAGTATAACTCAGCGGTATGTATGAACGACTTCTAATCACTGGTTCATCTGTTCAAATCTGATCGTCGTCGCTTAAGGTAAAATCTAATCCATTTGCCAGGGAAGGCTAAGACCATCAAAAAATATTGATGGTGGCAACTCAGTTCGAATCTGAAATGGATTATCATATTTTTTTCAAAATTTTTAGTTTTTTTATGAAACGCGTCCAGACGCATTAAATGTTTCATCTGGGACGCGTTTTCGCTAAAAATGCGTTTGAACGCAAGTCAAGCTAGAAGCGCATTCACACGCGTTTCTAAAATAAATCGCGTTTAAACGCTTCGTTTGTTTCACTGGGGACGCGTTCAAACGCGTTCACTCTTAGCGTTTCGCACGCAAATGAAACGCGTTTCAGACGCGTTTTGAGGCAAAAAATATTTACATGGGTAAGAGGTTTCCGACGTGTACGATATCCAAGAAATCGAAAGTTGATGATCCAGAGAATTGTACTACTTCTGATAAAATTGAAATATATTCCCATTGACGAAATTATGCTTTAATGAGGTCGGTCTTTCGAAAGATACGGCCGAAACGTTATCAACATGGGTTTTTCTCTTGCAACTCGTTCTTAAAATATGTGCCAACTGTTATCTTTCTTTCTTTTTGTTTGTCAAACTGAAGAGCTAGGTAAGTGTTATCATTTTTTCTTGTTTGCATATATAAGTAAACTTATTGTTATATGAAATAGCAAAATTTCATCAGAGATGAGATAATTCGAAAAAATTTTCTGAGTCGAATCGGAGTCAGATCAGCCTCCGAAAAATATTTTCAGTAAACCCGCTTTTAACTGCGACTTCGATGGAGCGGCAGTTAGAATCGGATTTCGGAGTACTCCGCAGGTCTCTACCCATCGGTACCCCTAATATAGAACCTGGAGACCCAAGAGGACCACCTAGCATAGGAATTCAGGACGCAAGGGAATTTACGTATGGTAGAACTTGTGACCCCAAGGGTATCTCCCTATTGGCATGACCACGCATCGGTCACTCTCGCTTGGGGAAGGTTTAAACTCACAAAAATAAAAAAAAAACTCTCTGTAAAGTCAAAAGTGCACCACCGACGGTTTACGAAACATGTTGCAAACTAAGAGACACTCTGCCGACCAGAGCTGTAAACCCTATTTTAATCCAACAGCCGTTCAACAAGATTTTTTTTGACTAATCTCATCAAAAAATTCAGTGTCGAACTCGGTTACATTTCATTCTTTTGTCTGAAAAATAGATAGAACTTTTAATGTCATTTCGTTATGAGAGTGAAACTGACATATTCGGATGGTAAAACTGTCTGTGTGCTGCTCTTGGATTGCGGAAAAGATAAGTTTTTATCGTGGTAATTGAAAATTTCAAGATGTCAAACTATCCCCATTAGAAAATCGACAGAAAGACGAAATTTCGTAACGATTCAAATTCCGTAACAGACAGTATTTACAGGTTTTTGTTTGATGTAATGATACTCTGTTCAGAAATGAACCAATATTTTGAAAGCTTGTAGAAAACTGAACAATTTGTATACATAGCTTTTAGTTGTATGTAACTTCCTTGCGCAGTAAAATACTTGTCTCTCGACTTACTCTAAAAAAATTTCCATTTTTTGAAATTCCGCAACGGGCAGAATATTTTTAATAGATCACCCTTGCGTGCATATAAATCGATAAAATTTTTATTGGTAATAGATTCAAATGGTCTCTATGTATCATAAAAATTTCAGGGAATTTGCCTTTATCTTTGATGAGATATAAGTATTGCAATGTAAAAAAATGAAATTCCATAACGCGTGACTATGCCGCTCTTATAGTACTTGAGAACCCCGAGGCACCCCCTAGTATAAACGTAGGGACCTAATAGTACCTCCCCCCCCCCCCCCCCCCCCTAGTATAGGACTTGAGGACTCAAGCGTACCTCCCATAATAGTACTTCAGGAGCCAAGGGTACGCTCCTAAAGTAGGACTTATGGCCCCAAGAGCACCGTTACCAGTTACTCGATAATGGTAGCTTTCCACTCCTATTTTAGTTAAGTGCCATTAAATAAAATAGTCCAGCTTCTTCAAATCTTCAAATCTTTCAAATCTTTCAAAACCTGTAAAATCTCTCAAAATCTTTTAAAATCTTTCAAAATCTCTCAAAATCTTTCAAAACCTTTTGAAATCCTTTGAAATCTTTCAAAATCGTTTAAAATCTTTTAAAATCTTTCTAAATCTTTTAAAATCTTAAAATCTTAAAATCTGCTTTTTCCCCCTTGGATGAAACACATACAATTCAAGTTCGATTATAAGACGAATTGAAAGATAAAACAGATTTTAAACATTCTCTTAGTTATTATATTCAAAATGGCACAGAATTTATTAGAACTGCTTTTTGTTCGTTTTATTTATGAATGAATAATTTTCCACCTAATGTAGTCACTGAAAATATAAATTTGATTCAATTGAAGATGAATAGTAAATTTCAGTTAATGACAAAGTTTAATATTGAATAAAATCATTATCAACATTGATTATCTAGGTGCTCAAAGAAGTACGATTGATCTTATTATATTTTTCTAATTCTTTTCTTTTTCCTTGAAAATCTTTAACAATGTACTTTTCTGCTTCTTGTTGTAACCATAATTCACCAGCATGATGTTTCATTATTTTTCTTACAATGTTTATGCTTAAGATTATTCCAACGAATATTCCAACGACAGCAAATACTAATACAATAGCTGCTACGACGACAAAACAACAGTCATCGTCAGTGCTACTGCTAGTACCACTACTAGTGCCACTGCTACTGCTAGTGCTACAGCTAGTACCACTACTAGTGCCACTGCTACCGCTAGTGCTACAGCTAGTACCACTACTAGTGCCACTGCTACTGCTAGTGCTACAGCTAGTACCACTACTAGTGCCACTGCTACTGCTGCAGTTAGTGCCAATGTTAGTGCTACTGTTACTGCTAGTGCTAATGATAGTACGACAGCTAGTCCCACTGCTAGTGCTACAGCTACTGCTACTGCTAGTACTACTGCTTTGATAGCTATTTGTACCAGTAGCATTGCTACCACTGCTGGGCCAATCACACAAAATAGTATCGCTACTGCTGCTGCTATAACGGTTATTTGTACCATCATCATTATCACCTGTCCAGTACGTGTAACACAATCTAATTAAGCCGAAAAGGCCTAAGATGGCCAACAACAATATACAAGCGCTCAAGTAATAAATGGTAAATTCATTCATTGAATTGTGAAAGAGGTTTTTCATGTTACTATTGTTTTTATCAATAGTTTTTAATAAGTATGCTAAAACAATATTAACCAGTTGAATTAGTAAAATAATCGCTGATAAATCACGAATTACAAATAAACGATACTTGATTAGTCTTTTTCTCTCGGATACTGGATCACTTATAATAGTTTCCACCACGTATTCGAAGTGACATATATCGCAAAATTTGAAACCTCTTCCATTTGCATTTCGAGACCGCCAATGGTTTAAACATTTCCGATGAACATAAGCTGAACCACCGCTACATACACATGGACTAATTATGTCATCAAGATTGCCATTGTCCAAACATATTCGGCATTGCCTTAACTGATTGCGTTCAGACAACAATTCATTTTCGTTTATCGCCGACATTGTTGAATTTCACTGAAATCCTAAAATAAATCAATAAAGTTTCGAAATACGGTCATAGGTTGATGGCAATTTCATTCTGTTGAAAAGTGCTAAGAGGAGACGCCATTCGCATATTTTAGTATTTATAGCACCAGTAAATAGTATGAATTAGGACAACATATTAACTATTACAAGTCTGCAAATTATAGCCCTCATTCAACTTTTTTTACTTTCTCATTTCAATCTGCAGAGTTAACTCTAGGATATTGTAAAAACAAACTAAACATTTTTGATTTACGCACCTGATTAAATTTGTAATATATCGAGATAGTAATCTAAAGTTTAAGAGAATACAGGGTGTCTCAAAAAATGTATACACTTTTCAGCTGCTCTAGTACACAAAATACTTTTTCTTGGTATACAGAGTGAAGGTGAGGGTGAGCAATGTAATCTTATCTCTTTCGTTCTCACTCTCACCTTCATCCTCATCCTGTATACCATATTTATAACGATTTTGCAGTAAATAAAAACGGAATTTTAATTATGAATATATCTTATTACAGTAATAAAAAATTGCAATGTAAATATCGTCGGTGTGTATACATATTATAGACGTTTCCAATCGAAAAAATTTGTCTTATGAAAGTGCACGTACCTCATACAATATGCATTATTCACGTCAAAAAAAGAATCAGAGAAAATGACTCATTGAGTATTTATTCATTTCTCACAAAGTGTTACTAATTGATCGAGAGTTGAATCATCAGTTTTTTAAAATGTGTAAATATTTTCTTACGACAGTGTCTTTTGATGACTTATCATTTGATTTCATTATTTTTGGGAATTTTTCAAAAGAAAATATTCCAGAACGTCATTTATCTGCTCACGTCACGTTGTTGTGAAAGATATCATCAATGTCGCACGTGCATGGATATATACAAGTCTGTCATCCTCAGTGTTCGGACATCCTCCTTTCACACACGACTTGAGAGATGAAATCACTTAATCAAAAGAAAACAAATATCATCTGATAAAAATTTAAAAATAAAATACGTCTTCTAAAGAGAATGAAATGTAAATTATTAGTTGAGCTTTTTTTTTGTAGAATTTTATTACTTCTTGAGTGATTTTTTCTTCTGGAAAATTTTCGATAAATAATACAATGATGATGAATGTTTGGAAATATTCTCGTATTACTCTTCTTTTATCTGTTCAAATATGTTAATTCATTTAGTTATGAGAATGAGTGATACAATTTCATTATTATTTTCGTTTTATTTCTGTGACAAGATTGAGGTCAGAAGAAAATTCAATTAATTCAAAATATTTTTATTTTATTTTATGTTTTAATTCTCAAATAAAATAGGGCAAATGTCTATAATATCGGCTATTTTTTTTTCGTCGAAATATATTTGAAATATGAAGTACTCAAGTAGACAGACATATCGATTTTTCTCGTTTTTATGAACAAAAAAGGAACAAACTCTCGGTTTTTTTGTCTATATCAGTTTTCAGCATAGTTGTCACACAAACTGGAGCTTTCACCCATTTTTTGAGCAAAATACTGAGTTTTCAGCAAAAGACTCGCATAAGATTTATGGAAAAACAAAACAAGAGCAAAAGCGCCTCAAAAGCTTGAAATTTCGCTCAAAAAAATGGGTAATAACTCCAGTTTGTGTGACAATTATGCTGAAAACTAATATAGACAAAAAATCTGAGAGTTTATTCCTTTTTTGTTCGTAACAACCAGAAAAATCGATATGTCTGTCTGCTCGGGTAGCCGGTTGAGAATTGTATTAGTGTAAAGTAGGATAGAATTTAAAGTGGAATTCAAATGAACCAATTAAAGATTGTAAAAGAGCATAAATAATTTGTCAGAGGGCGTAGTTGTATGCGACTGAGCGTCTCGGACATCATGCGTGCGGATATATGTTATAATACATGCATGAATCACGCACGGACTCACTTGCGCACTGTTTTTTGAATAGCTGTCAAAGACCAAGAGCAATCGAACTCGGAAGTTTGGCGTTCGACGGAGCAACCTGGAAAGCATCTTATTAAATAAGATTCGTTATAGAAAGTCGCACTTTCACTTTTTTTTCTACATTGAGTGCAGTCGGTTTTTCCATTCTATGATAAATCGCGAAAATAAAAATTGTTTACATCCCTCCTATATCTCCCTGTTATTCATAGAGTAGAACAAATACAGCCTATGAGCACCTAAAAAACGAATTTTTTCCTTCACAATAACCTATCCGATCAAGCTTAAGAAAAATCTCGACAAGAATTTTTATGTACAAAGTTCAAAATGATTGGATAAAAAATTGATAGAAAGTCAGTAGAATTTCTATCATTCGAGATATGTTCGAGCTGGCTTTTGACATAGAACGATTCGAGAGATATTAGTAGAGTTTCTACATGGCAAAGAAAATCGACAATTAATCGTGATTAGGCATGCACCAAACCCAAACCGTCTGGGTTTAGGTTTGAATATTGAGTTTCGTTTTCAGTTTCGTCCAACGAGTTTGAGATAAAGTATTGAACATCGATCCTAACTTATATGAATTGTCGTATAGTTTTGAGGTGTAAAAGTAGAAATTTGGTGCCTTGCCTAGACATCTGCAAAATCAGTTTTTTTGGTCCCGGTCCCGGTCCCGTCCCGGTGAAAAATGTTTTAGTCCCGGTCCCGGTCCCGGTCAAAATTTTTCTTCAGTCCCGGTCCCGGCCCAATTTTTTTTTGGTCCCGGTCCCGGTCCCGGTCTGGACTCGATGCCAGTTAAAAATTGTATTATGGTGAAAAAATTCCGATTCTTGGAACTGAAACGAGGATCGATGAAAATTTTTATCAGAATTGTAAAGAAAATTGCTGTTTTTTTAGATTTCTGATCACAAAAATAGAAGAAATACCTAAACGCAGAATCGAGTTTCTGATAAAAAATAATACCGGGACTAGCTTGAAAATTTTGGTCCCGGTCCCGGTCCCGGCAAAAGTAAAATTTTAGTCCCGGTCCCGGTAAAAGTCAAAATTTTGGTCCCGGTCCCGGGACCACTTTGCAGATGCCTAGCCTTGCCTCCCTAAAAGTCAGTGCATACATTTCGACAGCGAAATTCACAGATCGTGAAAATGCTATTAGCATTAGTACTCTCTTATGCCCTATAACATGCGTATTTATGAAACTAAAATCCATTGTTAGATTTAGTATTAAACGTGATCCAATTGTAGATACCTGTCATTCCCTCCCTCTTCGTAGCTAATAAAACATAATGATTGAAATTTTTGGTTATCGATACTTATGAGAGGTAGGTAGTAATACGTACGCTGAAACATGTTGACAGATTTTTCTTTCTCGTTCTGAATTTGGTCGGTATAGCAGTATTTAACATTTCAATCATGCAATTATTAGGGATGTAACAGTGACGATAACCGGTCGGACCGGCGAACCAATTAAATAATAACTGGTTCGATCGATTAATCGAGTAAATGGTAACCGATATGAACCGATAATGGCTTTAACGCGTAAACCAGTATGAACCGGTATGCACTGGTTTTCACCGATACAAGGAGTGGGAAGTTACCGAGTGAAGGAAACTGATACATTTAATATTGTTCCCTCGACTGTAGGGAGGGTCATATGAAAAAAACTAAAATGCGTTTGTCTGTCTGTTTGTGGCTGGTTAAAAAAACATTTTTTTCGAAATTTTTTTTAATGCAGAAACAGACTTTTTGAGAAAAAATAAATTTTTTCGAAAACACCTGTAGTTTTTTTCAAAAATTTTTTTTTTTGCGGGGGTCAGAAAAACACTTTTTTTTCGAAAATTGTTTCCTTAATGTAGAAACAGTTTTTTTGAGAAAACTGCACTAATATTTTCTTAACGAAGTATTTCGATAAGACTCAGATTTTTCAGCTGCAGAATGAAATTGAAGAAATCAGAAATAGTTCACAACGAAGCTTTGGTTTAGAAATCCCCGTTGAGAATTCTCATGCTATAGATCTAATGGTTTTTCGAATTAAGCCGAGTTTGGGATTAGATGAAGTGTAAATAAAAAAGGATGGTGCTGTGGAGAAGTAGAACGAAACATAGCAGCGGCTAGTCGTGAGTGCCGCCCCGGAGGGGCGCCGACGAACGATTAGCCGCTGCACTAGAAAGTCCCTTAAAGAAATGCTTCAAGCTGCTGGTATTGATCAATAAGACATCAAGAGTCTAGGTCATACGGGTTGAAATAAGGAGTAGCAGTTGCTAAGAACTGAGAAATATTTTGAAATAAAGTGTGAGAACGGCTTTTCTGCACGTGTGGGATATTTGAGTAGTACATTTGAGAGAAAACATTATTTATAGAATTTATATTCGTTCTATCGGAATGCTATTTGAATGAAATAAACGGGGGTTTCCTTGGTGGGATGCTTTCTTGTCGATACTGATTCAAATGTCGAAATGTATTTGGATATATTGAAGCTACCTATCTAGTCTGATGACTAATATGAGTAGGAGCTTCTTTCAAGTGTAGTAGTCCGATTATAGACCAGACCTAATATGATTAATTGTAAGCT